AAAAAAAAAAAAAAAAAACAAAATGTCGAATCCATGCCATGGGGCTTTAAAAAATGAAAAAAACACATGAAGATAACCATGTTGCGCGATATGTTAAGCACGTAACGAAAATTATTTTTTAAAAAAAAAATCTGATACAGTTTCCCATAGTTAATAAGAAGAAAATATAGAAGGGTGTGTTTTTTTATGAAGGGTTGTTTTTTTTTTTTTTACTTTTTTTTTTTTTTTTACTTCTTTTCAACTCAAACAATTCCGTTTCCTGCCTTATATAAAATTGAGACTGCAAAAAAATAAAATAAATTAATGGTGGTGGTGCCTACATACATAAAGAAAAACACCCCTGTTTTATTTCTTTAAGGAGAGAAAAAGAGAGAGAGAGGGAGAGAGAGAAGAAAAAAAAAGAACATTCGACTAAAAATAAATAAATAATAATCATAATAAATCGACTGAAAAAACATTAAAATATTCAAAAAAAAAATCACACAAATAAAACAATTTTGCGAGTCGGCAACGACGCCATTTTTGTATTTTCTATTGTTTTTCCAATAAGTAAATAATTTTTACATAGGCGACGTCAAATAAGTAAAACAAATTAAATAAATTTTTCGTCATATGATTATTGAGATTTTACGAGACGTGTCCATTTACAAACAAAAAAATAATAATGATGATAATAATAATAATAATAATGATAATAATGATAATAATTTCTGACTTTAAAAACGTTAAAATTTAGAGTGACTGCGTGGAATTTTATTTAAGTTTATTTTATTATTATTATTATTATTTTTTTTTTACCATTATTATTATTATTATTTTTTCTAAATAATAAGTTTAAGGTGTTTATCACTTTCACAAATCACCTACAAAAATAAAAAATAAAAAAAATAAACAAAAAGAAATAGTATTAATGAAGCAGAAGAAAAAGTTTACTTTTTTAGGATAACGTTTTGTTGGTCTTTCTAAAAAAACATTTTTTTTTTTTTTTTTTTTTTGTAAACGACGTAAAAGTATTTTTTTTTTTTGAAATGATAATAATAATAAGAAAAATTTCAAAACTCTATGCGTTTTATATAAGAAATAAAATTTTTAAAAATGGGGGACAAAAATTTTGATAACTATCAAAATAAGTCCTCACTATTGTAAATATAAAAAAAAAAAAAAAATCCTACGACATAATTTTACCTGTTTTATTTTTTATTTTCTCCCTCGGTATATTATTATTATTATCATCATTATTTCCCCCCTCCCCGCCCTCCTTTAATCTACTCTCTTTTCGTGCTACTTGTGTTGTGCATACATTCTGGCGAAATTTTTTTTTTTTTTTTTTTTTTTTTGACAATTTTAAAAAAAGATGAATTATTTGTTTTAAAACGGTTCATGATTTACAAGAGAGAGGAGAAAAAAAAAAAAAAATTACGTGACTTTAGAGGGGAGTCTTTCGATATCAAACCACCATTAATATTCACGGACACAACTCGAAGTGAGAACTCGAGAACTTTTAAAAAATATTACCAAGAATAAAAACACGCTTTCAATTATTATTATTATTATGATTTATAAATTAACAAAAACTAATAATAATAATAATTTACGAATGAAATTAACTATGATAACATCGTAAAATTCAACCTAACTAACGTATTTATTTATTTAAAAATTTTTTTCGTTCGTTTTTATTAATCAACTCATCATCATTATTTTCCGATACACAAATCGAAAATTGAAATCCCCATTTTCCCTTTAATTAATTTACGATGGAAACTTTTCCACAATATTATTATTATTATTATTATTTATTTTCTTCTCTAAAAAAAATTCACATGTCCTGATATAATTTAATTTTAACCACCGCGTCAGTCAAATAGAAAACAGAGACAAATTCTTTTTCGTAATGTTTTTAAATGACATTCACAACAAAAGAAAAAAAAAAAAATAATAATAATAATAATAATAATAAATGGTAAAGAAATTCTCTCTTTTCGCACAGAATTGATTACTTGAGTCCTGTCAGTACATGGCTACCTTTTATAGAAACAAACACATAAATGGCGATTGTGTGTTCGCGTTCAAAATAAAAATAAAAAAAAAATTAACACTACAATTTATCATACGAGAGTGTGAAGTTATTTCAACTAGTCTTTTTTTTTTTTTTTTTTTTATAAATAAGTTCAACACGACCTTTTATTTTTTTTACAAACGAAAGAATTTTTAAACGTGTAACACACGTGTAAAAAAAAAAAGTATTTACATTATTTCGCATAGGATTTTTTTTTTTTTTTTTTAAATTAAATTTACTTACTCTTCTCTTTGATTTTACTTTGAAACTTTGTGATCTTGGGGGCCTTTTTTTCGTCGGTTCAACGTTCGATTCTACCACGTTCCAAGAATTTTTAACGATTTTATCATCAACCTTTCGAACCTTATCACCGCTTTTACCATTGCATGGAATTAAAGAAGGCCACGATGAGGGTGATGGATTAGGAGGAGGTGGTAAAACGTACAACATTTCTTTTTCTCTCTCTCTCTCCCTCTCAGTTTTCCAACATTTTCCTTTCTTTTTTTTTTTTTTTTTTTTTTGTGTGTGACGAATTAAATAAAAAAGAAATTTCAAAAAATTTTAAATTTCTTTCTCGTCAATCTCTATAAGTGTTAAAAATTTTCAAACATTATTTGATAAAATAAAATAACCCAAAAAAAATAAAAAAATAAAATAATTTTCGTATGAATCGTCAAACACAAACTTATCACATCTCGTTTATAAATAACAACAACAAAAAGTCGTGGTAAATATTTTTAAATTACGAATACCGTATAAATATATTTAAAAAAAAAAAAAAAAAAAAAAAAACGTACGCGAACGGATATTTATCAACGAGCTCACAACACACACACACACACACACCCTTCCCTAAACAAGGGAGCCAACAAGATTTGACTGAACCGACAGACCCGCTATACACACCATTACGTTCGATACGAGAAACAAAATAATAATTTTTTTTTTTTTTAATCAAATATAAAAAAAAATCTCGATTCCGTATAATAAGCAAGAGAGAAACAATCATTTTACAATTATTTCACGTTTAACCTGTAGGACGCATATTTTTTCACTAAGTTAAACATGAATGAAATGCGCGCAATATAGATACACGTTCTTGAAACAATACGCTTTATAAGTTAAGCATGAATTTTGTTTCAAAACCGTTATTTCGAAACAAACTGTTTTAAAAAAAAAAAAAAAAATACCATGCAAAACTGTCATCTTAACCAGATTTCATCGAGAAAGGTAGCATGGTAGTAAGTTACTCTACCACTTTTACAATATTAAAACAAAAAAAAAAAAATTCAGGTGTGTTCTCATCAAGCAAACGGAAGCTACAATAGTTATATAGTTCTTTTACAAAATAAATGATTTAACCAACTACTTTATTATTTCCCCAAAAACATTTAAATTAAACCTAAACTATATTTTATTTTTTCAGTAAATTATCAAGAAAAATTATTCATGAAAAATCTACAAAATCAATCGTTACACAATAATAATTATTATTATTTTTAAATGCATAAAATATATAAAAGATAAACCTAAGAATTTTAATGAAATATTTTTAGATGTACCATTAGCTTCGATGATTGTTAAATTTTCAATAAAAATACTTAAAAAATTGTTTAAATAATTTAAATTAAATACAATTTGAATTATATATATATATATATATATATTCGAAATAGTTTTCCTCTAAAAATTAATGATTTATTATTTTACTCCAATTTTAAATAATGATTTTAGTTTTTTTTTTGAAATAAGAAATGATATTCTAAAGCAAATTTTAATTTTTAAACATATTTTTAAATTTTAAAAAATAAAAATTTTAAATAATTGGAAACAATTTTCTTTGTTGTAATAACAATCGAAATTTCCAGATTTTTTACGTTTGGTAATTACTCATGATTCATGGTAGAGTGATTTAAACTTACTAAAAATTTTGTCTGATTTCATTTTAAAAAAATAATAATAAATATACTAGGCTATTAGATTTCATTTTGTTTTATTACTTTACACAAAAAAAATTGCTTATACAATTGGTCATTTTAAAAAATATATTTCGACATGAATATTTTTCTAATAATTAAACTTTGGTAGAAATGGTGGCAGAAAAAAATTATATCAAAATTAAATTTTTATTATTATTTACTTATTTTTTCAACAAAAAAAAAAAAACTAAATGCTTTTTATTATATTAAAAATTATTTTAATGTGACAATAAATAACCCCAGTAAAATTATGAATTTAAAAAAAAATGAATAGTATTTTGTAAAAAAAAAAAAAAATCTAAAAGTTTAAATTTTTCAAGTTCACTAAGGGATGTAGTAGTAAAATACAATTTTTTAAGTATTTTCTTTTTAACCTAATAAAAGTAAATAAAAAATAAAATTTTATAATAAGATATATAAAATTTTTTATCTATTTTCTTTTGAATTAAAAATTAATAAAAAAAAAACATTAGTATAAACAGTCATCATTTTGAGCTAATGATATTCAACTAGTCTTTTATATTTTTTAGGCATCGTTTTATTTTTGGATCGTATATCCACATAAAAAAAATTTATTAGTTTCAAAATTGGAAATTTATTATTTATTAATTAAATTAAATAGAAGTGTTGGATTATTTGACGTATCAAAGATTGAAACTAATAAATAGAACTAGACTTACTGAACTTGGAGGAGAGCTACCAACGCTGGGAGAACGCTGAACTGTCACTAGGGCCATTCCATCAATTCACCACAAACAATCACTCTTAGTTTTTTTTTTTTTTTTCACATTTACAATCTAATTTCCATATTTAATTTATCTAAAAAAATGATAACTCAACAAACGCCATTTTCGATTCAACCAACTGATTTAACTCGTTCCCCACGAGTTGCGCCAATGAAAGAAAAAGGGCCCCGAAAAATATATGAGATAATTTCATGTTAAATTTATTTTTGATAAAATATGTCAAAAATATTTACACCTACCAATCAGATTCGGTTAACAAATGTTGCTGTTGTTCGTATGAAAAAAGGAGGTAAACGGTTTGAAATTGCTTGCTATAGAAATAAAGTTTTATCTTGGAGGAATAAAGTGTAAGTACGAAATTTGATTTTTACGTAAAGTTTCACTATGTGATGAAATAAACATGTACATGTACGGTTTGAATTAAAGTATCGCGTGATATACATGGAGTTTTCAAGAACCAATTCACAATTATTTAACTTACAGAGAAAAAGATATAGATGAAGTTTTGCAAACGCATACTATTTTTACAAATGTCTCTAAAGGGCAGGTAGCAAAAAAGGAAGATTTAATTAAAGCTTTTGGCAAAGATGATCAGACTGAAATATGTAAAGAAATTTTAGCCAAAGGAGAACTTCAGGTTTCTGATAAAGAACGCCATAATCAATTTGAGTCACTATTTAAAGATATCGCTACGACAATCTCTGAAAAATGTGTTAACCCTGATACGAAAAGGCCTTATCCAGTATCTATGATAGAAAAAGCAATGAAAGAAATACATTTTTCTATAAAACCTAATCGAAATGCAAAACAACAAGCATTGGATGCTATTCCACAATTAAAAGAAGCAATACCTTTAGAAAGAGCTCAAATGAGATTAAAAATAGTATCAGATTGTAAAGAAAGTAAAAAACTTAAAGAAAAAGTATTAAAATTAACTAGTAAAATTGAAGAAGAAGAATGGATAGATAATCAATTAACAATGGTAAGATTTTTTTTTTTTAACAAGCTAATATATGTATTTTATAAAACATTATCTAATATTTTATTTACTTTTAGATTTGTCTCATAGATCCTGGATATTTTAGAGAAATTGACGAATTAGTAAGAACAGAAACTAAAGGAAATGGTAATTTAGAATTGTTAAATTTAAAAGAAGTTTTAGAAGGTGATGAAGTACTCGAATAACAAAAAAAAAAAAAAATATACATATAATTTATATTAATTAATATAAAAATAAGATAAAAACTATTGGCATATTGTCTTATTATCTCAAGTGTGTGGTTTATAAATACTTTCTGGCCTGTTTGCAAATTTCGCCGATATTCTTGCTGCTTGAAACAAATAAGAAGAAAGTCTGAAAATAAAATTTTACAAAAAAGAAAAAAAAACAATGAAGAGATAAATTTTACATTATTATTATTATTATTATCATACTAATTTTTATTATGAACCTGTTTATATAAGCAAGAATATTCTTCCCATTATCCGCATCTTTAAAAACGCTGATTAAAACTCTTTCACAACGACGACAAGAAGCTCTTGCAACATGAAGTGCTGCACTAGCTTTCCCACCCCCCTGCCAAAAAAAAGTTATTTCTGAAAAATTTTAATAAAATATTTTCTCAGAAACAGGAGAGAGAGAAAAAAAAAGGAATATAATTTCTTTTAATAAATCAACAACAATATTGGTATAATATTATTTATTTACTATTTTAATTTATAAATAAATGACCTACGACTGTATTTAATACTGAATTGAGAAAAATTGAAACAAAAAAAAAAAAAAAAAAAAAAAAGAGAGAAAACGGAAATAAAAATTCGTGCCAAAAAAAAAAAAAAAAAAAAATGGTAATCTATTTGAAAATGATTTTTTAAAACTTACTGGTACTAAGACTTTTTCGATTTGTGGTAAAAAAGTTCCGTAGTGAGCGATTAAAGCTTCTAAATCGGCAATGTCTCCACAAGTTATTTCCGCACTCTTTGTTAATTCTGGAATTTTACTGGAATCCAATCGAGATTCTTTGGCTTGAAGCCTGTTTATTATTTCTACGGCATCGATTAAAACAAGCTGAATTTTTCTCAATTTTTCAGCTACAGGCCGGAGTTTTTCATCTTCTAAAACGTATTCTCGAGCAAGACTAAAAAAAAAAAAAAAAAAAAAATTTCTTTTACATCACACTTGGTATTTAAAACTGGAAATTTGCTAAATAATAATAATAATGGGATTTCTTCCAAAAAAAAAAGGAAAATAACTAAATGATTACCCTATGCAAGCACTCAGCTCCTCGGTGACACCAATGGCTTCACAAATGATATGATTTTTACGGAGATCTCCTGTTTTAATTTTATTCTTTCCATTGTCTGCCACCTTTGTAGAGACGGCATATTTGTCGATTGATCTGAAATTACCAAAAAAAAAAAAATTTATTTTTACAATTAATATTTTAAATAAATTTTTTCAACGGTTTGTTGTTGTGAATGTCATCCAGGACTCACATATAAGTGATTACCGATGTATATAATGTAAATAAATATATTTTGGAGTTATCAAATTTTTGTAAAATGAATTGTTAAATATTATTGTGGACATCATCACCGCCTTGGATTTTATATTTATATATATTTATATTTTGTTTATAATATTTAAAATTTTCATACTTGTCAATTACAGGTGGAGAATAAAAATTTGAAATTTCCCAACGATAAAGTTACAAATCAGAAATTTCTTACTTTTTTTTTTTTTATATTTATCATTACAAAAAGAAATTTAATGGAAATTAAAACTTTTATTTTAGGGATAATAAAAAAGAATGTTGTTAAATGTAATAAAAAGAGGTTTGCACGCAACTGGGGATCCTGTGCGAGTCGTTATAACGGGCATGGGAGTCGTGTCGCCGATCGGGAAAACGCTTGCAAATGCATGGGAAAATATTTTGGCTGGAGAATGTGCAGTTGTTTCCTTACGCGAAGAAGAATACCAAAGTTTGCCTTGTAAAATAGCATGTAAAATACCGGACAAAAACGAATTCATTTCTGATAGATTTTCCAAAAGCGAATTGAGAACGATGGCTCCAGCAACGGCCATCGCTCTCATCGCCACGGAAGAAGCTTTAAAAGACGCACGTTGGTCACCTCGAACCAATGAAGACAAATTAAATACGGGAGTGGCCATCGGAATGGGAATGATAGACCTGAACGATGTTTGTCAAACAAGTGAAGATTTGAAAATAAAAGGCTACAAAAAAGTCAGTCCTTATTTCGTACCTAGAATTTTACCGAATATGGCTGCTGGACAGGTGAGCATAAAACATGGACTTCAAGGACCGAATCATTCTGTTTCTACTGCATGCGCGACCGGAGCTCATTCTATAGGAGATGCGTTTCGATTTATACAAAATGGTGATGCCAAAGTAATGATTTGTGGCGGAGCCGAAAGTTGCATAAGCCCGTTATCAATTGCAGGATTTAGTAGATTGAGAGCCTTAGCAACTAATTTTAATGATACTCCGAAGAAAGCCTCTAGACCTTTTGACAAAGATAGAAACGGATTTATCATGGGCGAAGGCTCTGCAATTTTCGTTCTCGAAGAATTGAATCACGCGGTTAAAAGAAACGCAAAAATTTACGCCGAAATTTTAGGTTACGGTTTATCTGGAGATGCATCACACTTGACAGCTCCCAGCGAGGATGGAACGGGTGCCATTTTGTCGATGCAAAGAGCATTGAAGAATTCCGGCCTCGAACCACAGGATATAGGGTACATCAATGCCCATGCTACATCTACGCCCATCGGCGACGCAATAGAATCAAGAGCAATAAAATATGTTTTCGGTGATCATACGAACAATATTAAAGTTTCTTCAACCAAAGGTAGTCACGGGCATTTGTTAGGTGCAGCCGGAAATTTAGAAAGCGTATTTACGGTAATGGCAATAAAAAGTGAAAATTTACCTCCTAGTCTAAATATAGAAAACGTCGACGAAGACACTAAACTAAATTTTGTGACCGAACCGGGTGAAAAATGGATTACAAAAAGTTCAGATGGAAGGCGAATAGCCCTTAAAAACGCATTCGGTTTCGGAGGAACAAACGCTACGCTTTGTTTTGCTGAATTTAAATCATGATTAGTAGATTTTTACTTACATTACATTTACTTACTTTCTTATTTTTAATTTTAAAAGCTTCGATATATGATAAAACTATTACTGTTTCTTGGAAATTTGTAATTTGGAAATAAGACTAGATAAAGATGCATTATTATGAAGCAATGCTTTTCTGTTCAAATATTCGCCGGTTCTTATCTAGAATATTACAAAGCCGATGAAATAATGTATTAATTCTACGCAAGATATATCATTTTTGTAAATCTAGAAAATAAAAGCTACGAAAGAAACAGTACCATTAATTTATTCTCTAAACTTCCTCCATTTTTTTGTGCCAGATTCCACAAATTCACGGCTAAATCGATAAGGCCTGGTTGATTAAGATCGGCTTTAAAAGCTATGCGTAAAAATAAATCTAATGCTAAAGCGGATTGCTTCTTATAGAGTTCTTTGGAACCGAGCATTTTTAAATGATTTAATATTTCTTCGAGAATAACCGTCGACATTTTATTTATTTCCGATAAAAATTTCGGGTCCCAGCCGTAAAGAGTATCGTTTGATTCAACTTTATCAACGTGGTATGGATATGATTCTTGAGCCACGGTATGAAGCAAATCTAGGACGTGAAGATATATGATTCCCTTTCCGTTTGAATGAGGTTCCCAATTGTAATTTTGAACTGCGTTCACTAGTCCTCTCGTCAAATATAACACTCCTTGTTCGGGATTGTCCTAAAAACATGTAAACTTGATGAGATTTTTGTTCGTTTTCTTAGTTAATTTTAACAAAAATTAACCGTTACAAATAAAAAAATACTAACGGGAACAACGACCAGCGTGGATAAAAAATTACATAGGTAAGAAATCAAAAACTGTTCCGAGCATTTCTGTTTACCATCGACTTCGTACGTTTTCGGAAAATCTTGTATTAAACTTAGTGCTGCTTTAAAACAAGCATCGGCTTGACCCAAACACTGATTTAATAAAGCCACTTGACCAGAAAAAAAATATAATTCTAATTTTGTGAATATCGATGTGATAGATGGTATTGTAATAAAACAATAAGCCGCACAAGCCCGAACAAATGATGCTGTTTTTCGAGTGTGATGCCCCTTTACAACTTTACGAGTTTCCACTGCTAACCGATTGACGCTAAGCACCAACAGAGTATTGACGGAATCTAAATTGCTGAAAGAAGCCCGAGATTCGACGTAAAAACTAAGCTGTTGTTCGAAATCACGACCGAATTCAACTTTTCTGATAAAAGAACATATTAACGATCCAATTTGACGTTTTTCATCCTCGACTGTAAGAGCGCTAAAAAAAATTAAGAAAATATTATTTGTGGAAAATTTAAAAAAAAAAAAAAAAAACAATTTAATTACGATACTAAATTCATTTACCTTACAGAATCGTGCATTACACGACAAATAAACATTAAAGCATTTGTGATAACGGGATCATTAAACGATTCCTGTTGGGATTTACTAAACTTGTACATGATAGCCTTACAAACATCGACTTTAACGGACTCTTTTTGAAACATGTCGAGCACGGGTAAAAACTTATCCATTGCAAATAAATTTTCAAAATCTGATATTTTTTGAACAACATTATCAACAATGATTTGAAGTTGGGTGTAATGATTCTCATAAGCACGATTAGGTGTCATATGTTTAATTATATCGTTTAAAAATATATTTATTTCTCTTTTCTGAAATTAACAAAAAAAATTACTTTTAATTTACTTACTATTAAAATTTGGTACCTTTACGAAAAAAAAAAAACAAAATGGATGACTTACACTAAAATGGCGTACAACAAAAGTAATCCAAACTTCTGCACAGTTAATATATTCATCGGGATTTTCTAACTTTGTAACTACTTTCCAAATATCGTTTAAAATTTGAGACCTTTGTTCTGTTGGTGGGTCTGATAATGTTAAACACAAACCAAGCGTACGGTACAATAAATATTGAGGAAATCCATTGTCATTACATGTTGATATCAGTTGAATAAATTGTAAGGCACGAGCGGCAATGAAGGAAGACTTAAAAGTTGCCATTATAGTGTTTAACAAAAGAGCACTTTTACATGTACTTTGGCACTTTTGTAAAATTTCTTCTAAAAGACTTTCGGGTGCATTATTCGCGACTCCTTGCAAGATCCAATCAAGTGCTGGCGTGTAAAGGGTTAAATAAATGGATAAGTCAACATTTTGACGATATAATTCCTCTCTTACGTTTTGATTCATTATTTGTTTGTAACAAGCAAGGAAATCGTAAAAATTTTCCTTTATAAATTCTTTATTTTTATTATTTGTGATGCTTTGTCCAATTCGGCATAAATAACAACGAGCATAAACAGCTACTAGGGGATCACCTATTCCTCGAATCATATGGGTCAATCTCATTAAAGCCTGAGTGTGCTCTCTATGAATAAAACAAAAAAAACAAAAAAAACTTTAGTCAGCACATTTTAAAAAATAATTTACAAATACAATATGAAATAGAGTCAAAATTCTAAAAAACTTACGATGAATCCAAAAAACTGTAAGATTTAAGTAAAGACATTTCACAATACAATCGAGGCACTAATTCTCTTATTGATGCTATTTTATAAAACCAATTTCTGCAAGTTTCTTTGGCTGATTCTGGAACCATATCTGGAGTGAAATCTTCTGGCAATGATGCTGGAATGTTACTTGCTGGTCTTAAAGATATAATGAACTAATATTTTAAAAAAAAACTTTGGCATGTTTTAATTTTAATGGAATAGCAGCTTCTACTTACTTAGTGTATTCAGCTTTGGATCTTAACCTTTCATACACTAAATTACCAAAAATGTCTAAAATATCAGTTATTAGAACAAATTTACTGGGATAAAATTGAAGAACAGAAACATCAACTAGAAGTTTTGAGCATTGAATTACAATTTTTAAGGCTTTGACTCTTTGATCTTGATTCCATGCCTGAACCAATTCTTGATTTAATAATTCAATTCTTGAAATATATTCTTGCTGTGTCAAATCTAACATTTGTCTCACTGATCCCTCTTCAAAATCATCAAGTTGTTCTAATCTATTTTTAACCTTATCAACAGCAGAACTCTGAGTTTTTACAATAACTGAAACATATTCAACCTTACAAAAAAAAAAAAAAAAACATCGAAAGTTTTCAATACTGATGTTTGATTAAGTACCTTTTTCTCCGCCAGATAAAAAACTGGTCATCATAGAAAGTTTTTCAGATGTGGTGAATTTATTCAAAATGGCATTTTTGCGAGAAGACCAAGGCTCAAAATTAGCATCAACATTAGAACCCTCTTTTTTTTTATTGCTTGAAGAATCCCACTACAGAAACAAATTTTTTAATTAACAACATATTACTTAAAGTATAAATTATTTTTAATATAAGTATTACTTTATCTGTAAATTCTGGCAAAGGATCTGACTCTAACTTGGCAAACTGGCTCAGTGGATCAGTTCCATCTAAAGCAGCCCCTAAAGGATCCAAAACGATTTGTGTTGTCTTTGTTAAATTGACAAAATTATTACTGTAAGTGGATAATCCACTAAGCTTTCTTGCACTCTTACAGTCATTGACAGAAATACTTTGCGCTTTTAATGGATGATCAGAAACTTCTTTACAAACGAGATTTTTAACTGTTTGAGTTAAATTTAAATTGAAAGCCCTAAAAATAACTTTAAAACTTAGTAAATAATAAAATTTAAACAAAATTAACAAATTACAAAATTCCTGTCTTACCAATCATATGATGCTTTTCCTGAAGACATAATTTTACAAAATTACAGACATAACAAAAAATAGAAGTTATCTTTAGAAATTATAACAAAATACAATTTTAAGCCTTGATTTAATTTTCATTGAATTATACAGTACTTTAGGCACTTTAACGTTTACATGAATAACTTCCAATTTTAGATAATTTTATTACATGTAAAATGTCATAAATTTTCAATTCTTATTTTAATGTTTTTCGTTTAGAATCAATTTTATTGTATATATTTAGTTAATTATAAAAAAAAAATACAAAAGATTAATCGGAGCTTATTGAAAATTTTTGAGAAAACAACAAATAAAAACTTGAAATAAAAAATTTTAGATTCGGCTTTAGAGAACTATGTACGAAGTAGTGTAAACTCTAAGGAATACAACAAATATGTAATTACTATCAAGACACGTTCCGCAAATACCCTATGATGATCACGTGATCAATAACGTCACATAATACTTTGCGCGATAAAAATCGGATGAAAAATTTTGGAATGACCAAAATGGCGTTTACTGCTTGTAATAGTGATGTGATTAAAAATCATTGATTTTAATTAACATTTTGTCAGCTTTCAAGAAATTAATAAAAAAAAAAAACAAACAATGTATTCGTTTTTCATTGATTTAAAATAAGATGGCTGACGAGGATGCAGAAATTGAAATTAAAAGAGCTCTAGACGTTTTGCAGTCAATGATTGACATTTCTGCAGATCGCCTAGAAGGTTTAAGGACACAGTGTGCAACTAGTGCTGAACTAACCCAACAAGAAATTCGAACTTTAGAGGTATAATAATAATAATTTAAGAAATTATTCTTTTTGAGAATCGTCCTGTTAATTTTCTCCCTAAATGTAACATTACCTTTTCTAATTTTTTAAGTAAATAATCATAATTGAGCATATTTTATTTTAAACAACAAATAATATCATATGTTAACTAACAATATCTCAATCCAATAATTGGTTAAACTTTTTTTTAAGATGTTCTATTAATTTCAATTTCAAATCAGTTTTGTAGCTTCTAAATTTGTCTATCCTATTCATAAAATAACAAAAATAAATAGTATTCTTTAAAATTGTTTTAAATGTTCTAAATTCTTAATAAGTTTAACTTTGTAGCATGTTTTGTTATTTGAATGATTTAACTAATTTAAATGTTTTTTAGGGTAAACTTATCAAGTTGTTTTCAAGGCAACTTGTAAACAAAGCCAAGCTTTCTGAGGATTCTCTTCCTACAGAAATGAAAAATGTTCCAAGAATAAGGCAATGGCTTCAAGTTGTAGGTCTAAGTGAAGATGCAGTTAAAGTAAGTAATAAACTTTAGCGACTAAATTAATAAAAATTTTCTCAACTATTCTTATGTAAACATATTTAAATCATTGTATGTTTATTATTAAAACTGTTATTATAAGAAGTAATGATTTGTAATTAAAATATACTAAAAGGAAAGTTTTTAATTGATTTTTGCATATAAATTTAAATTAGTTATTATGTTATTGTTATTTATCAGGGAATCATGCTTAAAGTATCATCTTTAGAAGCTTTGCAAGAAAAATCAGAGCATGAATTAAGAACAATTTTAATAGAAAGGAATGCAAGAGAGGAAGAAGTTCGAAGATTGATTAGGGCATTACACAATCTAAGGAAATACATAGAAATTTTGCTTAAAGGAGACGCTAATAATGAATCAAATGATCTTAAGCTTTACTGGGATTCATGGGACAGACATAGAGGAAATATTTCAACTTCTTCAACTTCCCCTAGGTATTGATAAAATTTCATTTATGAAACATATTCTTTTAAAAATTTTAGCTTTGTAATAAATTAAGATTAAGTTTCATTTTATTTTCACTCAAAAAATTTTAAATTTCACTTTACACAGGCCTGTCAGTTCAAGAGCAACAAGATGCTCTATTCCCTCAGAAGAAGCCTTACCTTACAATAACAACAATAACTATAATAACAATCATATGATAAATAATATGACTGGTAAAATAGCTTGTGCAGTTTCCCTTACCTCAATCAATAGCACACCTACTCATCATTCTTCAAGTATTTCTTCTAATAAAGGTAATACATTAAAAAAATGAAATGCTTGGTTAAATAACTAATATTAAATACTAATATTTTAAAATTATCATTATTATATATATATATTATTTAAACTAATACTTCCAGTTTTAAATTTAATGTTTTTTTTTTTCAATTTTATAATTTCATTTTATTTATTTTTAGGTGAAAGATCAAAGTATCCGACAACTCCACCGCCTCATAAAAAACATCAAACTGGGGTAACACCTCTTGTACCTGCATTGTTATCAGACTTGTCTCTAACCAAGTCTAGATCTCATGAGTCTCAATTGGGATACAGTGAAAACAATCAAATAGGAAAGTAAGTACAGTAATTTAACCTTTTTAAATCTTAAAATAAAACTTTTTTTTTAAAATTGGAAAATGCCTTTCATTTAAGTGGTGAAAGTCACGATTTTGTGACTCGTCGGGGACGCTTGCCAACAGAGCCTGGGCCTAATTGCAGTTCAGAATTGGATTACACTTCTCCTCTTATTTCTAGTCCGGTGAAATCTCCTCCATATAATTCAGCAGGAGACAGTGACGACAGTTCTTACAAAAGTTAGCAAGTGACATTTACTAAAATGGTTATAATTCATCGGATTACTTATATCAAAGAAATTAAAAAATTTTTTAAATTTTAAATAGGCTTGCAAGTTCCCAAGTCGCCTCGAACGCCGACGTTACCTAGACCTGGAGTTATGGGTCATGTTATCGCTCATCGATTTACAAAAACTTACAAAATGATGACTACTTGCGATTATTGCGAAAAGCAAATGTTTATTGGAACCGGGTTAAAATGTAAAGAATGTAAATATAAATGTCATAGAGATTGCGAATCGAAAGTACCACCTTCTTGCCGCTTGCCTAGAGAATTACTGGATGAATTTATTCAAGGTTTCAATTCACTTTTAATTACCTTGAATTTTTTTTTTTTTTTTTTGTTATTGCAAACAATAAATTTTTTTTTATATTTTGAAGCTAACAATTCACCGAATTTGGGTCGAACATCTATGCCATCACCTAAACATCGAGTTACTGCTAGATATGGGAACCGTACCAGAAAGCCTTCTTATCCGCAACCATCGATACCCATACCGCCTTTCCCGGTAAAATATTTATAAACTTAAATTAATATTATTTTAGCATGCAGTCAAAAAAAACAAAAAACAAAAAAAAAAAATATTTTTCTTTAGGGTCCAGATTCAAGCTCTACTTCAAGCTGTAATAGTTCTACGCCGTCAAGCCCTGCCTTAGTTTTGCCCACATTAACTCCTCAGATTCATGGAAAGCCTCAATTTTTATATCCAGGTGACTTTTAAAGTACAAAAATAAGTTGTACTGGATATTATTAAATATTTACAAAATAATTTTAAAATTTCAGATATAAATCATTCAGAAAGAAGTATCACACTTGAAACTCATCCTCTTGCTACGACTCCCGTTTTAGAAGAATTACTTGATAAGTACAAGTCTCAAGATAGTGACAAAACGGTATCCGTATCCGGTTCCGGTAGTCTTAGTACCGATTCTGAGCGAACTCCCATCCGAGTAGATAGCCAAGATAGTCAGGTATCAGACGGAGAACCTGATAGAGGTAAAAAAAAAAAAAAAATAACATTTGGATCGTTTTTGTACCGTTGCCCTCCTCTTTAAATCATCTAAAATTGTAATTTTTTATTAAATTTACAGGCTGGCCTCGTCAGAATAGTCTGTCAATTCGAGAATGGGATATCCCTTACGAAGAATTACAAATCGGGGATTCAATCGGTACGGGGAGATTCGGAACGGTGTATCGGGGGAATTGGCACGGAGATGTTGCCATAAAAGTTCTAAATATGGATTATTTAGACGACGAAAAACGATTGGACGCTTTTAAACTTGAAGTTGCAACATTCCGAAAAACGAGGCATCAAAATTTAGTCTTATTTATGGGTGCTTGCATGAATCCCAAATCTTTTGCAATCGTAACTTCTCTGAGTAAAGGAATGACGTTATACACTCATATACATCTTCGCAAGGATAAATTTACCATGAATAAGACTAGTATTATTGCACAGCAAATATCGCAGGTATCACATTAAAAAAAAAACCACATGTACTAAAAGAAACAAAATGTAATATAAAATGTATATTAATGTTTGAATTTTTTTTTTTTTTTTTTTTAGGGAATGGGATACTTACACGCCAGAGGAATTATCCACAAAGATTTAAAGACGAAAAACATTTTTTTAGAAAATGGAAAAGTAGTCATAACAGATTTTGGATTATTTGGAGTTACAAAACTTTGTTACAGGCAAGGGGAAATTATTATTATTATTATTATTATTATTAATTTTTGAGCGTTCGTTTTCATTATATTACCAACGTCAAAAATTTTTTTTTTTTTTTTTTCATTTTAGAAAAGGAACGGAGAATTTAATTATTCCACCCGGTTGGCTTTGTTATTTGTCTCCCGAAATTATGCGGAGTTTAAAATCGTCATATCAACCAGATGAAGAGGAATTGCCATTTAGTAGAGCATCCGACATTTACGCTTTCGGGTAAAATTTATGCGTTTTTTTTTTTTCTCGAAATGACAGGAAAAATACAAATTTCATTTTAAATAATTATATTTGTAATTATATAGAACGGTGTGGTACGAATTACTTTGCGGAGATTGGCCCTTTAAAGGTCAATTGCCGGAAGCGATAATTTGGCAAGTGGGAAAAGGAATGAAACAATCTTTGGCTAATCTTCAGGCTTCGAGAGATGTTAAGGTCGGTCATATTATTATTAATTCGTTAATTTAAAACGAATTTCGAAAATTACGAAATTAATTTTTCAGGATATTTTAATGATGTGTTGGGCGTATCGAGCAACGGATCGTCCCGATTTTACTTCTTTATTAAAGACTTTAGAAAAATTACCGAGAAAAAGATTAGCAAGAAGTCCTTCGCATCCAATTCATTTATCTCGTTCGGCAGAAAGCGTATTTTAGAAGAGGAGAATTTAATTTTGAGTTAAATTCATCTTTAAAAAAAAAAAAAAAAGTTTATTATTATTTTCTGCACTTTTATTGTTTCTTTAAAAAAAAAAAAAAAAAAAAAATATGTATTTTAGTAATGCTTTAGCAATATTTTCTAAAAAAAAAAAAAATAATCAATATAGTTGATTAGTTAGTTAATTTATTTTTTGTTCAGCTTTGCGTATATTTTACGCGATGAATTAAAATGTAAAAAAAAAAAAAAAACGAAAGCACAGATGATATTCAAATAGCTTTACATTCATTTAAAAAAATTTATATTAAAAAAAAATCATTTTAATTAATTACCTCTTTATATTTATATATATATATACGGATATATAAAAAAAAAAAAATTTTTAGATTAATGATTGATTGATTATTGTATAAAATTTTGTCTTTAAATTTAAAAGAAAATTTTTTTTTTTTTTTTTGAAAATAAAAATGCTTTTATCACGTTATAATGAATTTAAAAAATTGGAATTTTTTTGAATTTAAAAAAAATACGTACACGATGATGATGATGGAAAACTAAAATTACTTGCTTATTTAAATTCTTTTTCAAAAAAAATATATTTACTAGTTAGCTGGGGGGGGGGAAAGGGAGGGGAAAACTGTGCTCTTGTGTATTTATTTAAAAAAAAAATTTTTTTTTTTTTTTGTACTTACATATAAATGTTTTATTAAAACGCAGATGTATTTGTAAAATTTCCGGGGGGGGTTTTCCCCTTTTTTTTTTTTTTTTTTTTTTTTTTTTTTTTTTTTTTTTTTTGAATTTCAAAAATATTAATTTATTTTAATTCATTAATATATAAATATTATAAACAGTATTTAATAAAAATGGAGGAAAAAAAAAAAAATTTTTTTTTTGTTATTTAGGTATGTCGATCAATATCTAATTTAAGTTACAAAAAATTTCTTTTTTTTTTTTTTTTGTGTAATAATACATGTTCAAATTGTAGTATTATTATTATTATTTTCTTTTTTAATTATGCGTAATATATACATAAATAAAAATATAAATATTTTGGTCATTTTGATAAAAAAAAAAAAAATTTGATATTTAATAATAATAATAATAGTAATTTTTTTTTTTTAAATTTGAAATCGATTAATAATTGAAATTTTAAAAAATTTTAGAGGAAGGGGAGGGAGGGGGGGAAATTATTATTATTATGATAACAATGTCAATGGGTGATGGATGATAATTTTGGAATGCAATTAGATAGTATAAAAATAATTAATTATCAATTTTTATATATATATTGTAAATATTTTAATTATGTATTTATTATGTGTAAGCATTCCTAACATCCCAACCATTTAAAAAATTTGTACGGGTAACAAAAAAAAAAAAAAAAAAAAATTGCACATTTAATTTATTATTATCGAAATCAGTTTCATTGTTTTTAAATAAATATAATTAATAAAATATAAAATTTTTTTTTTTGTTCGAGTAAAAAATTTAAGACTGTTATTAACAGAAAAAAAAAAAAAAAAATTGTTATCGAATTCTTTATTTAAAAAATTACTTATTTAATTATGTATTAATTTAAAAAAATTTTGATTTGATTTATTTTAAGGTCTTCCACAAAAAAAAAAAAAAAAAATTACATTATTTATTTATTTTATTTTATTTTAAATTAAATTAAATTTTAATAATAATAATATTTTCAATTTAAATTTAAATGAAATTTTTTCAAAATGGTTAACAATGAAACTGTTTTCGAAAAAAAAACTTTTAAAAGATATAAATTCTTTTAGTAGAAAAAAAAATTTTTCATTAATTTGCACACACAAACACAAACACAATCATACACACACCTACACACACACACACATATATATATATATATATATATATATATATATATATATATAAATAATGAAATTAATATAATTAATTATTATATTTAATTCATTCTCTAAACAATTAATTATTGACTCGAATTATAAAATTATCAATCATTTTGGTCTTTTTTTTTGTTTTAAAAATAAATAAATTTTTATTTTAAAGGTAGAAATTTAAAAAAATTATAATTGAACAAGAAATTTAAATGAATCATATGTTTGAATTTGTATTATATTATTATTATTATTATTATTATTATTAAATTTTAAAATTTAACCAAAATGTTTCATATGATATAAAATAATAAGATTTTTTCTTTTCGATTTTAATTTCATGTATTTTAAGACTGTTGTTTTTAAAAATGTGTCAAATTATGCAATTCACATGTAATTCTATTTAAAAAAAAAATTTAATGAATTATTTTAATTTGAATTTAAACTTATAAAAAATTTCTTTTTTTTTTTCGATTTTATGATTAAGGATTTCGATTAATTAATTGTAAAAAAAAAAGTTATTAATTTTTTTTTTCTCAGAATTATTTTATTTATTCTGTGAATTGTTTTATATGGATATATAATTTCAAATGTGTAAAACTTTGTTATTAAAGCAAAATATAATTATGTAAAATTTTAATAAAAATATTTAATTCATGATTATAAAAATTACATACATTTGTAATTCAAATCGAATACATTTCGAGTAAATGTAAAAAAAATCGATAGGATTGCCAATATGGTATGAATAATTAAAGTGACACACATTTATAAGATATGGAAATGTCAACTCATTATATTACAGATTTGATGTTTTTTTAATTATTTTTTATTGTTATATAAAATTCTTAATATTATCATCACACATTGAAATGAAATTAGTGATTTTTAAAAAAAAAATTTAATGAAATGAAAGTACTCGTTTCAAAAAATTAACAAAATCAAAAGTAGAATGTATTATTATTATTATTTGACTGTTGAAAAAATATTAAAACAAATTACAGAAATTATACTTTTTATTATTAATTTAAAGTGTTAAATCTTAGTCGTTTGAACATTAAGTGCATGACTCTTTGGAAAAGTTTAATTCAATACAACTTTTAGTATATGTGACATAATAAAACACAAGTCTTCACAAAAGTTTATGAATTCAAATAATTATTTAAACAAAAATCAATTTATATAGGTTTAATTTTAAAGTGTAAACCTATAAGAGAAAACACTAAACATTTTAAATCTTGTACTAAATAATAAAAACACCTTAAACCTTCTGGATCTTTGGAATTGTTAACCTCCAATAGAGAGCCGGTTTTTGATGTTGTGAAGGATATATGTTCGTCACCGATAACAATTTCTAATTCTTGTCGACCGACTCGGTCAGGTTGCGGCCATAAAATATCATCTTCTTCCATTATTTCGGAATCATGAATAATTCTTTTAAGTTCTTCCATAACACATTCGTGAACGTAAGCTTCTTTTCGAATCATGGTATCATTTTTGTAATTTGAATTATTAGCATATCGAAGTTTTCCTTCTGGCCGAAATTCAAATTCTAAAAATTCATGACCGAATTTTCCTTTGTGACCAACGTAATATCTTATATAAAAATCAGCATCCTTTCCTTTAACTGACATTTTTTTTTTTTTTTCTTCAAAACTGGACGCTATTAAGAACAACGAAACGCAATACTTTACAAAAAAAAAAAAATGGCGGACCACAGACTTCTCTACGTCATCAAGTAGCAGAACACTTGTTTTCATCAACCGATGATGTTTTCGTTCTCGTTAATTAAGTTTTTCAAATTTTTTATTTTGACAATATAAAATAATATTTCTTTTTAAGTACAGTGTCGCGTTCATTAAGTAAGATTTTTACGGTTTTTATAATTAACAGTATAAAATTTTACATAATGTTAAAGTAAACGGAATAAAATTTTTTAGTTAACGGTGCTTACAACATAGAAGAAAGTTTATATTAAAAAATGATGTTATTTACTTCTTAAAAAAAAAAAAAGTTATTCCAAAATTAACAGTTCTCATAACTGATTTGATTAAAATAATTTTCTCATAATTTGTTATTATTACACGAAAGTTATTATTTCCATATGAATAATGCCATTACTCATAAATTTCATTAATTAATTGTAACAGATTTTTTCCATATTTGGTAAAAGTTTTAAACTTTTTGCTTAGAAAATTTTTTAAAAATTTATTTACTACAATACAATTTTTTTTAAACTATTAGTTTTATATCATAATCGTTAAATTTTTTTCGAACGTCAATTTTATGATTGCCAAATTGCATTGAATTTTCTTAAAACTCTTTTTTAATAATTTCTAAAGTAATTTTTATGATAAATGTAAATTTTTAAAATTTTACATTTTTAGTACCTTTTTTTGTTAAAAGTTTTTATAAGCAGAGTTGAAAAATATTTTAATAAGTATTAATAAATTAATTTAATTTTTTTTGTGTGTTTTACTACCCAGTTATTAGGTGTAGAAGTAAGAATACTACAGTGATATTTGTTTACAAATAGTTATGTTTGAATTTTTTTATCACTGTCAAAAGTTAATTAATTAAAAATGAGTGAAGTGGATTCTAACATTCCTACATCTAGTCCTACTAGTGAAGTTATTGATTCAGTGTCAAATTTTTCTGATGGTAGCTGTACACCATCAGAATCATTAACTTCGAGTCAAAGTGATAAAATTGATGTGAATAAGTCTAGTGGTTCAAGTGTTTCTAAAATAGCAAGACCGACAGGATTAAAACTACCTAGTACTGCAGGCACTGCAGTTACAAGTTCATCGAGAATAGCAAGATTGTGCAACAATGCATCAAAACCAGCATTACCTACAACAAATAGTAAGTCTTGCATATACTAATTTTTTTTACGATATAAACATATACATATACATTGTTTAAAATATTGACCGATAACTTATTAAATGACTTTTAAGAGGATTTTTATCGTTTGACTATGCAGTATTATAATTGTATTACAATCGAATTTCTGTTATAAATTAAACATAAAATTTTTGAAGGTGACAGTGACCCAAAAACAAAGTTTTAAAAAATTTTTTGGCAAAACTTCAGATTATAAATTCAGATTTAAAATAGATTTTTTTACAATTTTCCATTTTATAGATTTTACTATTTTCTCAAAAATTTATTTTAACTTTAAATATTATTTAATAATTACTTAGGATGTAGATTTAAAAAACAATTGAAAATATTTAGAATACTTTAATTAATATTTTTTTGAAAGGCAAAAACAAATTATAATAATATTTTATTTGGCCCCCCCCCCCGTCTAAAATTCAGCTTTACAATCAATTGATATATGAATAAGAATTTTTCTTTAAATGACGTAACCGATATTTGCATTAAAAAAAAAACATAAAAATTATTACTACGTATCGTACAGTCAGCATGATGATAATAATAATAATAACTTAATGAACAGTTTTGTAAATAATTATTAGATCAATAGATTAAATTTTTTACTTACCTGAAATCGCAAGAATATAAAAACAACAATTTATTCTACGTGCATATAATATCCTTATTTACTTTTGAACTATTAAAATCATTTTAAACCGTTAAAAAAAAAATTTAATTTAAAAAAAATTTTAATAGATAAAATCTTCTTCTTTCTTTGTCATTTTTCTTTTTGTTTTTACTTTTGTCCGGTCAATTTATTATATTAATAACCTATTAAACTTATTGATGTTGTGTATATTTTGTGGTCCACCTGTAAAAACATGTAAATTAAATTTTTATGAAATTGATTTTTCATGATGATGATGATGATGATGATGATGATTTTAAAAATTCTTTAAGATCATTAGGGGGAAAACCCTTAGTTTTGTAAATTATTAAAAATCTAAAAATAGCCGAATAGTTTGTATAGAAAAAAAAAAAACCTCCTGGGTATTCACCTCCTAATCATTATCTATGTATCAATATGACCTTTTTCTTTATCAACATTAAACAAACATTAATTTTTTTCCTCTGTCAAAACAAACACATATTTTTTTTCACCTGTTTATTTAAAAAAAAAAAAAAAAAAAAATCCAAACCATAACTTTTTCAAATTAATTAAATTTTACATAAATTAAAATTTAACCGTTTTCGAATTGACTTTTTATTAAAATAATTTCAAATGAAATATTTCAACCTGATTGTTGAAATCTTTATTTTATCATTCGAATTTATTTCGGTGATCTTTTTTTTTTTTATCATTGCCTGGTAAAATTTTACCCAATTGATCTTACCTTATAAATATGAGGGCTTGGTGTGTTGACACCTCAACAATTAGATAAGAGGTCTGATGATAATGTAATTACGAAACGGTTTGTGTCAACCGAAAAGAAATTAGATGCAATTTTATTCCCATTGTACAATTTCGACACTCCTCGAAATACTATCATTATTAAACATCTTATGTATGATTTTGACTTAATTAAGTTGTACGATGATGATGATGATATTAAATGATGATGACAACCAACAACTTCTTTTTTTATTCTAAATCAATTTCACTTTTGATTAAATATTATAAATTTTAATAACCGTGATAATCGGTTTAAAATAAAAAGAAAATGGAGAATTTCATTCTCTCTCTCTCTCTCTCACTAAATTAGTAAATATATATATTTTATTAAGTACATTTACGACCCACAATCTTTCAAGAGCACCAGCCTCCGCAATTTCAGTTATGTGCGATGTTAAAAAAATATTTTGTAGGCAGATATTTTTGTGGTAGTATTTGGAAAAAATGTATTTTGGTCTAATCTGGTAGGTGATAAGCCCACGACGAATTCGTGCTTCCTCTTATCAATGTTGGACTGACTAAACGTAAAATCTAAAATCGTAATGGCGTTATTATTGATGGAATATGATTTTTCAAATGACTACGAAAAAAAAAGTGGCAGGTACCCTTATGTAAATCTCACATTATAGAGTCACGTGAGCATTTAATTGAAAAAGAGAGACACGAGGGTATTTATATATTAATTTTCCACATTTAATTTTCCATTTAATTTAATTCAGGTAATTTGTTTATTTTTTTTTTTTTATGGCAAAAGTCGGACTCCCTCCCTTTTTTTTTTTTTTTTTATCGACTAATGCGTTTCTCGAAAGGTAAATTCTACTTTTTAGGTACATTTACTAGTATTATAGGATGGTCAAAGTGACCTTGATTGGTAAAACGACCCGTAGGATGTTTTTTTTAATTTCTTGTCATATTCGTTCTTCAGCATTCGGTTAATGTAGCCACTGTAGAAATCTGGTGAGATTTTTTTTTATTTTATTTTATTTTTTTTTTCGTTACAGTTTTTTGAATATATTTTGTATTTCTTAATTTAAAAATGGCAACAATAATTTTTTCGTTTGTGGCATTTATATTAGTTTTGTTGTTTTTTTATTTTATTGAGGTGATTTAATTGAAATTATTAACTTTTTTTTTTGTTCGTGATTGATTGATTGATTGATTGATTGATGATTGCGTTCGATTTGTATTAGGCTAGGCAAAAAAAAAAAAAAAAAAATTGTTTGTAATTTTGTTTTGATTTTTTAAAACTTTTTAACACTATATTTTCTTCTTTAAATCTTATTAATGTTGTTGTTCGTTCATTTTACATTAAATCCCTTTTGATTTCGACTTATTCTTCTTGTTCTGTATTCGTTTTAAGTATTACAGGTACAGGTTATCAAAGACAAAATTTTAAGTGTGTTTGTGTTCATATAAAAAAAAACAAAACAAAAGTTTATCGAGTTAAATTTTTTTTTTTTTTAAATTTTAAATGTGGATTTTAATGACGAAAGGGGATTTTAATAATTATTTAATTTAATGTACTCATCAACGAGGAAGTTGACGAGAATTGAATCTTTCTCTGTATTATATACGCCTACTGACGAATGTTCATATAAATTTGAACTTTTCTAATTGTAGAAAATTACCTTTTTTTTTAAAAGTTTTTTTCAAATTTTTTATCATTCAGTCAGTCATTCTTCTATATTATTTGTAGACGTGACTTTGGTGAAAGTAGACATATTTAAAAAAAAAGTTTTTTAAAAAAGCGGGAAATTTGATGGGTCATTGATTTAATTAAAATATTTTTCCTACCTTGGTTTTTAATGGTTTGATCATTTCTATTTTTATATTTTTTTTTTTATCTTCCCACTATTACTTTTCCTTGACTTTCTTAGAACTTTTCACGACTTGATTATTATTATTATTATTTTATTTTACTGTCATTTTTGTTTTGGTTTGTTTTTTTTTTTTTCTGCTTGCCTTGACAGCCGGATTTGATTTTTTAAAAACGGAAACCATGTCTACCCTTTCTCCTATTGGAAATGTAAGAGAAGAATTTGTGAGAAGGAGACTCGCTGGTAAGTCTAATAATTATGGAAAAATGAGTAAATTGTTGTAAATTTTTTAATGTCGTTAAAGAAAACTGTCAATTCGTAATAATCGTAGAAAATGTTTGTTTGCCACCGAAACTTTGCTTTACACGCTGCCTTAAATAATAATTATTATTATTATTATTTTTCGTTTGCTGTTGATTGCGTTTCGTTTTGTAGTTAAGCTTATGATACCTGTTTTTTTTTTTATTGAGTTGGCTTTTTGTTTTTTTTGCACTTTTTTCTCTTTTTAATGTAGATGTTGATGAAACAGATGAAAGCATGCCTTACTCTGATAATGAAATCCGAATGGAGGACAGAAGAATTTCAAGTGAGTATCAATCGAATAATATAATAATGTAAATTTGGCAGGGGGGAGGGGGGGAGCGGTGATGATTTCAAACGAATAAATTTTATTTACGACAAAATATGAAGATTAGTAGTAACCTCCCTTTCGCAACGACAAAAACTTTAAACTGGAATTTTTTATTAATTTTCATTTAAAATAGGCGGATCTGCTTTAAGTGATTCTAGTCAAAAATCAGGTTCAGAAGAACATTTAAAACAAAATCGAACAACAACATTAGGTAAGAATATTAATTTATTAAAAATAAATAAATAAATAAAAGGTGTGGCGATTATTTTGTTAAACTCGAAAAAAAAAAAAAATTTTTTTCTACGAAAATTTTTTTTGTTTAATAAAAAGTTTGTAAGTTGTAGGTAGGCAGGCGCTTTTTTCCGGTCAATGTTTTATTTATTAAAAAGCTTTTGCTAAGCGTGATGAGATTTTATGGCCTCTTGCTTGGGTTTTGCTCTTAGCTCTTGAGTTTTTTTTTTCTAGATTCATTTTTAAATTCTTCCTTAGATTCTTTTTCTGATCATTGGAAATTCGATGGTGATGATGGTCGCCGAACGCCAGGTAGGTAGATAATGAAGCTTTTATAAGTTGTTTGTGTCAATGCACATTTTCATATTTTAGTTCTCATTTAGTTGGCTCGGTTGATGCGCGATGGCAAATCATTTTTCTCTTGGCTTGATTTATAAAAAATCATATATGTATTATAACCTCTGGGTTCATTTTGGGATAGCGAATTAAATTAATTTATGTTTACCTGATTAATTCGTCTGCGCACCTAATACATTACTTTGAATTAACTTTAACGATTGACATTTGCAGACACAAGCGTCGTTCTTACCGAAAATACAGATCAATTTATTATCGGGGATAGAGTTTGGGTTGGGGGCGTTAAGCCCGGACAAATTGCTTACATCGGAGAAACTCAATTTGCTCCCGGTGAATGGGCTGGAGTAGTGTTGGATGAACCCATCGGTAAAAACGATGGAACAGTTGCCAATATAAGATATTTTCAGTGTCCGCCCAAAAAGGGTATTTTTTCTAGGTAAAGTTTGAAAACAAGAAAAAAAGAATTTATGGTTGCATTATAAATAAAAAGAGGTTGACGAGAAAAATTTTTTAAAATTTGTTTTTCTGTGATTCTAAGGTTGACCCGATTAACGAGGCAGCCTCTGCTTGATGGAGGAGCCGGAGAACCTGTCGCAACGAGGTCAATGATTTCCGAATCGAAAAAGAGTAGTAGTAATGGTAGTTTTCTAGGTTCCGTGCCTAAAAAATCACCAATGGTTTTGACGACAACTCCGAGCAGCATTGGGTCTAAAAGTTCTATTTCCAAACCGACATCTCCCGGTAGGAAGGATTTCATTAAAATATGCTGCGTGAGAGTGGGAAGTAGGCTTAGTAAAATTTCACGAAAAATTTTTTAGATTCCGGCATTAATCCGGGTCTGGTGGTCGGTGATCGAGTTATTGTAAAAAGTAGTCAGGGATCTAAAGCTGGTCTTCTTAGATACCTTGGAACCACGGAATTTGCTGCTGGAGAATGGTGTGGAGTCGAATTGGACGATCCGTTGGGTAAAAATGATGGTTCCGTTGCAGGTGTAAGGTAATAAAAAAAAAAAAAAAATGAAAATTTTCCTTTGCGATTCCTCTCTTATATCGACCACTATTATTAATTTTTTTTTTTTTCGCAAAATAGATATTTTGAATGCCGTCCTAAATTTGGTTTGTTTGCTCCTTTGCATAAAGTGAGTAAAAGTCCAGCAAACAAACGATTGTTTCAACCCTGCGTCGTACATAAAAGTGGTACCCCCTCCGGAACGAGAATTCGCAGACATGGTTCCAAAGAATCTTTGGCTTCTCTCTCGTCGACAACCAGCACTAACGTTTCCGTCAGGTCCACCACTAAAGTAAAAATTATTTTTTATTTTATTCAGAACCTAATAAAATAAATGAGTCTCTCCCTTTGACAATTCCAATTAATTAAAATAATTTTTTTTAGAAAACGGCGGTTAGAGCGCCAACGACGCCAACCTCATTAAAAACAGCCTTACAGGTAGGTAAAGTTAACCTTGGTCATTTGATAACCTTATCACCAAATTATTTATTTATTTTTTTTGTTATTGATAGAAAAAAAATAATAAAAATTTGTTTTGCCAATTTAAAATCTGCCAATTTTTGATAATCGAAATTATATTTCGTTAATGAAACGAAGTAAATTAATTTTTTTTGTTTTATGCGAAACAGGAGGAAATGTATTCATGGGAAATCGGATATTATTAGCTTTTCTACGATGGATATTAATAATAATAATAATAATAATAATAATAATAATAATATTATAATTTATTTTACGAATCGAACATATATTTAAAAAAAATTAACTCTCTACGAAAAAACTAACATTAATTTTTTTTGTAAAATCAAATAATATATGTAATAATAAATATTTATTTTTTTAATTATTTATTCGTTTGTTTGTTTGTTTGTTTGTTTTTTACCTACCGTTCCTATTTCATATCGCAAAGAATCCCCCCCCCCCAAAAAAAAAAAAAACTTTATTTAAGTCATGTACAATAAATTCTAGAGTAAAAAAAGAAAAAAAAAATGTTTTAAATGTAGGTTTAAATTTAGTTATACCTGACAATCACCAACGCGTGTGCAACCTTGAATTAATTTTATTATTATTATTATTATTATTTAATTGCGTAATAGTCACGTTATTATTCATCGTATCATTTTAAACTTTTATTATTAATTAATTAATTTTTTTGTAAAATTTCAAAATGGCAGATTTTAAAATACCCTTTTATAGAAAAATAATAATAATTGTTATTATACAACTACTGTCTTTTTTTTTTCTTTGAGTTTGTATAAAAAAATTTGTATGAAAGTTTTTATTGATTTTATAGGAAACACTTAAAGAAAAAGAATTTCACATCGAACAATTATTAAAAGAAAGAGATTTAGAACGTGCTGAAGTAACTAGAGCAGCCAATCAAGCCGATGAAGCGGAAAGACAGTTAGCCATATTAAAACAAGAATTCGAACAACAAAAAGAAAATTCAGAAGCTCGAATATCTGATTTGGATGCTATGATTTCCCTACTTAAATCTCAAAATGATGAAATAACTAATTTATTAGAAGATGAAAGGAAAAAATATGAAGATTTACAATTTAGGTTTGTCGCCATTTAAAAATTATTTTTTTGTAGTTTTAATATTAAATAAAGAAGAAGAATAATAATAATCAAATTTTTAAAAAAAAGAAAATCCTTTTAAATTAATTTTTTTTTTTATTTAAATGGAAAATTTTACCTTTTTTTTTCGTTTTCCTGTCGTAAACAACAGCATTTTATATTATAGCCATTACATCAAAATTTTTTAAACATCTGTTATTTAAAAAAAAAAAAAATCCAATATTAATATAAACTGAAAAAAAAATATTTTTTTATTACTTTGCAATTATTATTATTATTATTATTACTGTTTTAAACAAAAAATAATAATTAATCGACTTTCCATCAAATTAATCGATTAATAATATCTTAATTTGACAGAACAAAAAAAATTCAGATTAATAGAAGTTTTAAAGAGTAATTATCAAGGTTATTTATGTGGGTTGATGTTAAATGCATGTTAAATTAATGGTTGTAATAATAATAATAATAATAAAGTTATTTGGATTTAAAAATAAACGTAAAAATTACTAAAAACGATTTTGATTTTATAAAATTAATTAATAAAGGAGAAAATAAATAAGAAAAACGGGGGAAAAAAATTTTTATATGTTTTATAAATCAGATGAAGTTTTAAAAATAATAATAATAGGAGGAACTTTCCAATTGTTTTGTTTTGTTTTAGATTCGAAGAGGAAACGATTGACAAATCCGATATAAAATCATCTGTTATCACGTATAAAGAAAAAGTCGAATTGTTGGAAAAAACTCTTGCGGAAGAGAGGAAAAGAGTTGAAATATTGGAACATGATTCTAACAAATTATTCGAATCTGAAGAACAAATGGTTATATTAAAAGATGAACTCGATGCCGTTAAAGAAGAACTTCAAGAGCAAAAGGTTTTTGTCATGTTTTGTAATAATTTTTTGTAAATCTTAGAAAAATTTAATTTTTTTATATATTTGATTTTATAGAAAATTCGTTCGACTTTGGAACAAGAACGTATTTCTCTCGAAGCTCATTTGACATCGGCAAGAGCCGGAATAGAATCCATGAAATTAGAAAACGAAGCATTAAAAGCATCCGTCGTAAATGATGAATCAAATGTAAAAAATATTTTAGAAACGGCTGCTCAAAAATTGGAAGAAACAAAAAAAGAATTAGAGAGCAAACAAGCCGAAGTCGAAAGATTATCGAAAGAATTGATAGCAAAAGATCAGGTTTCGGAAGAAAAAGAAAAAGAAATCCATGGTAAATATTTAAAAATCATTCAAGATCTATCGGAAAAACATAAATCGGACATGAGTAAAATGTCGGAGGAATACAATTCTAATTTACAATCAAAATTAAAAGTTCTCGAAGAGCAATTGAATGAAAAAATGAAATATTGTAGTTCACTGGAAGGAAAATTAAACGATGCAAATATTTTGTTGTCGAAAAACGACGCGGAAAAAACGTTAGAATGTAATCAATTGAAAGAAGCGAAACAAGAATTAGAGGCTAAAGTGAAAGATTTGACCGAGGAAATGACGAATAAAAATGATTTGATCGATAAGAAAACTGCGGAAGTTGGAAAATTGGAGGAAGAAATGAAAAAAATACGAGAAGAATTGGAAAATGCGAAAAAATTACTTTCTTCTTCGTCGGAAAATTCGGATAAGGAAATAATTACTCTGAAAGATATCATAAATAAGCAAAAAGATGAGTTGGAAAAATTAAAAAATAATTCTGAAACGAAATTTAAAGAGTTTAACGAGGTGAACGAATCACTGACAAAAAACAACAAAGAAAATTTAAACAGAATAAAAGAATTGGAAAATGTGCTGAGTGAAAAAAATTCAGAATTGAACAAATCGAAAGAGAATAATGATAAAATTGTTAAAGAATTGGAAGAAAAAATAAAAGAATTAGAACGATTTCATGCCGTTCAAGAAGAAAAGTTTACGGAAAAAATTAAAAATCTCGAAGAAAGGGAATCGGGAAAAAAAGGAGAAATTGAAATTTTGAAAAAAAATCTCCAAGACGCGAATACATTTTTAAACAACGAAAAAGAAATTTTAAAGAACGAAAGAGTGAATAATAAAACTCTGACGGATAAATTAACGTCTCTAGAAGAAATCCATGAGAAATTACTGAAAGAAAAAGAAAGGCTCGAATTGGAAGGTGGGGATGTCAATAGAAAATTACAATCGGCGAATGAAAAGTTAAATTTGTTGACGAATCAAAAATTAAAACTCGAATCTGATATATCGACATTTATAAATTCTTCGAACGATTCTTCCGTTCAGTTGAACAAATTGAACGAAGATTTGAGGGTAAGTGAAAAAACGTTAAATTCTTTACGGGAAGAACTATCGGAAAAAAGTAGAAAGTTCGAACACGCGGAACAGGAATTAAAATTGTTGTTGGATAAAAAAGAGGAAGAATTGAAATCGTTGAAAGAATCTGCGACGGAAGAGAGAAATAATGCCAAGAAAGAGATGGAAGAGTTGAAAAGTAAAATGGAAACGTCTATGGCAGCTACGCGAGATGTGGAATTCGAATGGAAGAAAAAAACCGAGGAAATCGTCAGGGATGCTGAAACGAAAATAAATAAATTGCAAGAAGATGTTAGGAATTTAGAAAAAACGAATCAAGATGAAAAAAATAAATATGAAGAATGTGTTCGAAATTTAAAAGCCTCACAAAACGATCTGGAAAAGAATTTGAAAGATTTACAAACGAAAAGTACGGAAACGATTCAGAATTTGGAAAAAGAAATACGAGAATTGCAAGCCGAAAGAGTCAATTTGTTGCAAACGGTTGAAAAAACAAACGTACAATTTTTAGAAAGTAAAAAAGAATTGGATGATAAAGTTAAAAAAAGAGAAGAAATGATTGCGGGTGAAAGTGAAAAATTAAAAAACGAATTGAAAGAAACAAACGAAAAACTTTGTCGAACAATCGAAGAATTGAGTTCTATCAAACAGGAAAAAAACAAAGCGAACGAAGAAAAAGCAGAATTGGAAAAAAATTCGGAAAAACTGGAAAAAATCTTGGAAGAGGTTCAAGGGAAAAACAAAGAGCTCGTCGTCAACGTGTCATCCGTCGAAAGTGAAAATAAAATTCTCAAAGAAACGATTGATCAACTCCGGGAGGAAAAATGTCACCTGGACAAAGATTTAACGACGAAGGTTATGGAGTTGATGGATTTAAATTCCCGGATGAAAAATTTAGAAAATTCAAAAGAAGTCGGCGACACCGAACGCACGACGGAAATAAAAAATCTGGAAAAAGAAATTTCCGAACTCAAAGAATTGTTGAAAAAGACTGAAAAAGACAAAACCGAAGAGATAAACGAGAAAAATAAACGGATTGAAAATCTCGAAAAAGATTTGGAAAATTTTAAACAAGAATCTAGTCGAACGATGTCTGAAAAAGATGACGCAATGCAAAACTTTAACGAGATTAAAGAAAGAGTGGAAAAAGATTTCAACGAGGCGAAAATCGAATTGGAAAAGAAAAGAGAACAAGTTGAAAAACTGGAGAAAAATCTTCAGTTGCTAAAAGTGGAATTGAATGCGGAAAAAGAAAAATGCGAGGAATACGGAAAAAAATGCAACGTGTCCGACACGGAAAAAAATAATTTGAAAGGAAAATTTGAAGAAGAACAAGGGAAACTCCTTGAAAACAATTCGGATTTGACGAATAAATTAGCAGAAGCGACGAAGAAATTAACGGAAGCGGAAAAAAGAGAACAAGATGTCGTCGAACGATCTAAAGCGGAAAAGGAAGCGTTGCAAAAAGATTTAGATGGGAAAAATAATTTGCTCAAATTAAAAGAAAAAGAAAATTCTTTGTTGATAAAAGAATGCGAATCGTTGAAACGAGAAAAATCAAAATGGAATGAAAAAATGGAAGAAATGAAGGAAAATGTGGAAAAGGCAACCGTCAAAAACAACAACAACGCAAACGGTAAATATATATTATTTGTTGAAATTCCAGGCCGGAAGTCGAATTAATTAAAAAAAAAAAAACCGGAAAATTTTTTCTTTTTCTTACCGTCGACAGATTCAAAAAATTCGGATTCGACCGAAGGGAAAGATGATTTCGAAAAAGGTCAAATAGATTTTCTTAATTCCGTTATTGTCGACATGCAGAAGAAAAACGATGCGTTAAAAGCAAGAATAGAAATATTAGAAATGGGTTTTTCACCCGAAGACGCGGAAGAATTCAATTTGTAAGATATTATTTCAACATTACTTTAAATTGTTTGTTTGTTTTTGTTAAAATGTGTTCCCCCCCCCCCCTTATTCCTTCGTTCCCGTTTATCCTTCGTTTCAGGCACAATATTAACACGAGGACTGCTGTTGCTCCGCGTTTGTTTTGCGACATATGCGAAGTTTTCGATTTGCACGACACGGAAGATTGTCCGACACAAGCGAACGAAGATGAACCTCTTCCACCTTCTAAGTCTTCCAAAACAAAAGTACCTCCTCCACCGGAAAGGCCTTATTGCGATAATTGCGAAGGTATTTCCTTTCGTATCAATTTATATTTGATTTTTAAGGTATGTTGAATTTTCATTTTATTTTTTTTGTAGTGTTTGGACACGATACGGAGGATTGCGACGACGGTGAAACATTTTGATAAAATTTATTGTTGTTGTTGTTGTGTACATATTGGGGAATCGAGAACGTGTTAAAATGTTGTTTTTTTTGTTTCGAATCTGCAAACATCATAAACGTTTATGTTTATGTTAATAACGGTAGGAGGTAGTAATGGGAATTACCTGATAAATGTTGGAGAGCTTACCTACATACCTCTTAAAACGAAGTTGAGGGAATAAAAAAGTAAAAATAACTGTGATAATTATTTTGGTTCATTATTTCCTAGTTGAATTTTTTTTTTTTTACATTATTTATTTATCATTTTACATGATATTATTATTCATTTTCTTTTTTTTTTTTTTTTATCATTAAGTTATGATTGTATTGTTGAAATAAAATTTTCTTTTTTTTATTTATAATGGAAAAAATTATTATTATTTTGCCTAATGAATGAAACGAGTAGATATCACAATTCAAATTAATTTTTTTTTTTTTCCAATTTAATTTATAGAAAAAAAGAAGGAATAATAATAATAATATATATATATATATATACATATTAAAAAAACAACGATTAATTACAATAAACAATTAATATTTGAATGTAATAAATTTACAAATAATTAAATACAATTTTTTTATTTTTTTCCATAACATTTATGTAGAGGATAAACCAATATATATATATATATATATATTTATTTGTTTTGTTTAATGTAATTTTATCGTGATTATCTAAAAATATCAATTAATTACACATTTATTATTATTATTATTTATTTATTTATTTATAATAAAAGCTATAAATATTTACTAAAATAAAATAAAATAAACTACTGCCACCTCTCATCATATGTCAAATATATATATATATATATGTATAAATCATAAGGATAACATTTATAATTATTAATTATTTATTATTATTATTATTAAACTATATCCCACTTTATTAATAAAAAACTACTTAAAATCAAAACACTCTCTTTTAGATAATAATGAGAAAAAACAAAAAGTTATTTTTGAAGTTAATAGATGGAAAAAAAAAAAAAAAAAATTTCTTTTAAGCGTGTAAAAATTTTTATCGAATGTTTTTACACATGGACACAATAAAAAAAAAATTTTTTTATTTTTAACATAATATTTTTAATTTATGCATTGTGTTTTTGATTTTTTTTTTTGTTAAAAAAAAAAGTCACTTATCAATATATCAAATTATTATGCATTCCGATTCAATTTAAAAAAAAAAAAGGTATTATTATTATTAGTATCACATAGCATGAAATTTTTTTTTTTTTTAACGTTTACTGATTTTTTTTTTTTTTTTTTTTTTTAAAAAGTTTAAAAGTATTTATTTTTTTGTTGCAGGACATTATGAAAAAACTGTCATCAGAGTCAAGATAATTTTTTTGTTATACTGATAAGACTTCCTATTTATTTATTTTTTTTCCCCCTTAATTTTTTTTTTTTTTTTTTTTTCGAATGTCTTATGTTATTATCAAAATAAAACACCAAAGCTAAAAAAATTTTTTTTTTTTTTTAATGTTTTTTTTCTTGATCAAAGAGCAAGAAGAGGTGATTATACATTTTTTGCTATGCTGTACTTATGCTATTATAAGCCAAAATATGAATATGAGAGCAATTCCCAAAAATAATTTCGATAGAAATTGATCTTCTTCATATCGAGGTGTGCCTCTTGGCGAGGCACTAGGCCTGTGATCTCCAATGTTTAATGATGATGTTAAAAATGCAAATGGAAATGCTCCTATACCGAATGACATGTGAAAATTTCCATCTCCAAAACCGAATCCAGGAAATGTCTAAAATACAATCACAAAATAAAATTATTTCTTAGGAAAATTTCGACAATTATCGAGGGACTTGATTTTAAGTTGAATGTCGATAAAAGGAATATTGTTGAAAAAATTCAAAAAAATATTAAATTAAGTAAATTTTTTTTTTTTTTTAAATAAACTTACATCACTATTTTCTGGTTCTGATCTTTGACCTGCTGGTCTTGGTGGCACTTTATTTCTAGGGTCCTCTTGTTTACTACTTCCTCTTCCATATAATGGAATCACTTTTTCTTTACTAATAGCAGCTTTACATACTGGACACATTTGCTTATTAGGCCTAGTTTCTAACCATTGATGCAAACAAGGCCAACTGAAATTATATTATTATTATTCAGCGCTTGCTTATTTTTCTCGAAACTTATTGTAATTGATTTTTTAAAATTTACATGTTCTTAATTACAGTGTAAACATACCAAAAGAGATGTCCACAAAGGCTGACAACCGCATCTTTGGCCGTATCTAAACAAATATTACATTCAAAAGTTTTGTCATCTTTTTCTTTTTCTTCCCCTTTTGTGGAAGGCCCCGGTTTACTAGCAGTCACCATTTTTAAACCCTAAAATCTTTAGTCAAAAAAAAAACTTATGAAAACAATCATATGAGTTTGACATCACGATTAAGTCAAGGCCTTATTAAATTAATTACAGTGCAATATAAAGAATAGCAAAAAAAAAAAAAAAAAAAAAAAAAAAAAAAAAATTGATTAGAATATTACTTTGGGCATAAATACGAAAATTTATTAAATTCCCTCTTTTTTATATATTGAAATGTATAATTTTGTGAAGATATTAACATTTGTATACGGAATTTCTAGTCTCATAAGATTCTACGTGTTAACTTCACCAAAAGAAAATTTAACACATATGTTTACTTTTATCGCATAGTCACAAAATTAAGTTTATAAAATGACTAATGTACCCAAATATTTTTTATTTTTTTTTTTGGTAATTTATTTTATTTATTTAAAATCGACATGTATATGTTTTCTGCTCAAACACTGTATTATCACAATAAATTATATTGAAATTGTATAAGTGCAACAACGCGAAAATTGATTTAAATTTTTATTTTTATTCATTTTCTGCTGCCACTGTATAATTTTTTTTTTTTTTGTTGTTGTTTGAAAGCCGTTAATTTCTTTTTTCCTTAGAATAATTGTTAATACTTTTAATTTACATAAATAAAACTGTAAGTTTTTATTTTATTTTAATGCGCTGTAATTATTGTTTAAAAAAATTATAAATAAATTGCTTTCAGAACAGAAAAGAAAAAAAAAAAAAAAACAAAATTAAATTAGAATTGTTGATTGATTTTTTATTGTAATCAACTAATCTCAAAAAATGAGCGGTCAATCAACTCCAAAAAGTAGAAATATGAGTTCTATGCAGTCTCAGTCTTCTTTTTTATTAAAAGGCTACGGTTCAAAGTTTAAATCTAAGAAAAAAAAGGCCCCACAATCTACTTTAGTAAAAAGAAATCAATTTAGAGTTTACGATTCGCATGGAAATGATCGAACTCCTAAATTACTTATCGATCCTGATTATCAAACTATTGATGAGTGGCAACCTACAATATTGGATTATGTTGATGCTGATGCCGCAAGTACTGGAAGTCAAATGAGTCTGAGAACGTATCCAACAGGGAGTTATGGAAGTCGACCACAGCAGAGCGGTTCGGTACAAATGTCAATGACTAACATTACGAACATGGACTCATACAAGGAGTCCACGTTAAAAACATTAGATGGGGATATTGTGAGCGATACAAGAAGTGATGAACCATTTTCCGAAGTTGCTCCTTCTCAATTTCGCCTTAAAGATTTACCGTCCCGTCAATTTTATGCTCCACATTCAAAGGTAAATTCACACCGTATCATTTAATTATTTAACAATTATAATACGAACTCGATTACGTGTTTCAGGTCCCTATTATTGCAATGGAAACGAATTCATTCACATTATTTAGTTTAAAGAGTACTGTTCAATCAATCACTGCTGAGAATGCAGAATATTTAAAAAAAGAAAATGAAATTTATGAATTTTTTACATTCAGAGAAGGAAGATATCAAAGAAAACTCCAGACTTCAGAACAACAAACTCCAGAACATATAAATACAGCCGAAAGCTCTTATTGTCCTAGGAAACCTACTCGAAATGATTCTACATGGGTTACCGATTGGAAACTTTATGACGAAAGTTTAGGAATTTTTGAAGAAAAAAAGTAAGAGAGAAACGGGTACAGAAAAAAAACATTTTTTAACATTTAAAAACATTAGTCAATATTGTTATCTTAGATGGTAACAAAAGTATAATAAAATACAATTGAAAAAAAAAATATATTTGATAATAGGAACAACCACAAAAATGTGCCTAATTTTTTTGCAGGAATCAATCATTAACTGTTGAAGAACAATGGACGCAATTAGCCGAAGATGAAAAATTTATAACACGTTGTATGCTCATGGATAGATTATTAGGAATGCCACAAGCGAAAGAATTTCAATTAAATTATAAAAATCCCGATTTATTGGATCCGTTAGATTTAAATATAGAATTTAAATATTTGGCAAAATCTTTATGGACGTACGAAACGGATTTTGTACAAAACAAGCCAGCATTAACAATATCAATAAATACATTAAATCCTGATATAATTGCTGTAGGTTATGGTAAATTTTTACACGTGGAACCCGATAAAGGTTTTATTTGTATTTGGAATGCTAAAAATTTAAAACATCCAGAAAGAAATTTTAAGTTAGTTTTATGCATTTTCAAATAAATTTATTTGATTTCACAAAAAAAAGAAAAAAAAAAACTTTTTTTTGTATATAATTAGATTTCAATCTTCGGTAATGTGTGTAGATTTTGCTAAAAGAACTCCTAATCTTTTAGCTGCTGGTTTCTTAAATGGTGATTTATTAATTTTGGATATAACCACAACGGAAAAAAAAGTTTGTGTACAAAATAATTTATTTATTTATTTATTTTCAATAATTTACGTATTTAAAAATTGTATTTTCAATTTATAGATAGCTTATTCGAAAAGTTCAGTCGCGTGTAATACATACGAAAAAATATTATCCGTTAAATGGTGTACTTTTACCGACATTTTTGATAACATAGAAGAAAGATTAATGTTGACATCAGGATGTGGAAGAATAATACAATTAAGAAGACGTTTAGATCAATTAACACCTTTTCAAATGATGAGAATAACAAAAGCCGAAGATAAAGTTGGTTAAAATAAATAAAAATTTGTAATTAAAAAGGGGAAAAAAAAAAAATTTAATATTTTTAGGTTAAAGGAATTGATTGTCCTAGAAAATGCGAAGCCGAAGAAATAACAATGGTACGTTTTCCTCCGGCACATCAATTTGTTTATTATCCAAACGATAATCAATTTTATCTCGTATCAGGAAGCGATGGAATTATACGAAAATGTTCTATTAATTATTTCACACAACATGTCGAATCATTTTTAGCACATTTAGGACCGATTTACGCTTTGAAATTTTCTCCTTTTTGTGCAAAGGTTTAATTAATTATTATTATTTTTTTTCCCCATTCGGTTTTTTAAACAAAACATAATAATAATAATAATAATTTTAGATTTTCCTCACGTGTGGTGCAGACAGTGCCGTTAGACTTTGGGTTTGGGATATTTACGAACCCGTTATGACTCTAACAATAGGATCACATCCGGTAGAAGATGCAGATTGGAGTCCTAGAAATACGACGGTCATAGCAAGCATAAGCGATTGTAATTTATATTTATGGGATTTAAAAAGGAAAACTTATTATCCCACATCGACCATAGAACATCCTCAAAAAATTAAATTTTGTACAGTTAAAGTAATCAAATCGATAATTTAAAAAAAAAATAATAATAATAATAATATTTCATTAAGTAATTGTTGTATTTATTTATTTATTTATTAGTTTTCGAATGATGGGAACAACATAATATTAGGAGATATGGAAGGATCAGTTCATTACATGTCATTACATAAAATGCCTTTTGTTGAAAAATTCAAAGAAACCACTTTGGGTGCTTGCATCGAAAAAGAATTAATTGTCAAACCGAAATTATTAAAATTAGTTAAAAAATCAGGGCCGCCATTCACACCAATTTAATTGTAATTTTCTTTTTATTAAAATAAAAATTTTTTTTTTTTTCTTTTCTAATCTTTCGATAATGATACGTTTTCAAAAAAAAAAAAAGTATTCATAATAATAATTATTAACTAACTATTTATTATTTAAAAAAATGATTAAAATTTAGGTGAAAGTAATTGACAAAAAATTTTTTTTAAATAATAACTTTTTTTAAAAACGTGTGCACGAATATACATATAAACCAAAATAAAAACATTAAATACCTAATAATAATAATAATAATAATGAAAAAAAATTTGTCAGATAAAAGTGATTTAATTCTGTATAGAGCGTGGGAATGATCAGGTTCGTGACCGGACAGGAAAACTCTCGTGTTCACAATCGTTTGCTGTTTTTTTTTTTTTTTTTTTTTTTTTTCTAATATTAAAATTTTTCACAATTTTTATACGTTTACCCCCCTCCTCCTCCTTTCCCCCCTCGAAAAGAAAAAAAATTATAATATATATAAATAAATTACAGTAATTTATTTAAAAAAAAAAAAAAAAAATTTTTTTTGTACGTTTGGTGTATATAATTAATTTCGAATTAGATTCATTAAATTTAAATTTTATTTTAATTTTTTATTATTATTATTATTTTCGAGACGAGTTTTTCTTTTTAAAGAAAATTAAATTATATTTAAAAATAGTTTAATAGCAAAAATTATATACATTATTAAAAATTAAAAAAAAATGGCGATGTTTATGTTTAAATAATATATATTATAATTTTTTTTAAAAGGTTATAAACATTATGTTGTTATAACCGTGTATTTTTTTATAAAAAATCGGCAAATTTTTCTAAAACGAATTATTATTATTATTATTAACATCATTAAAAAAAAATTTTTTTACAGGATAAATTCACACGAATCATTTATTAAAATTTATTTATTTATTTAAAACAATAATTACAAATAATTTATATTATTTATTTATCAGTAATATTTGTTTATTTCTTTTTTTATTACTCACTTTTAACAACGTTTAAGGTTTAAGGTTTTGGTATGTTTGGCAAAACAAGTCTTCTGTATATTTTACACATAATTTTTTTCGATTAAACATAAAGTTGAAAAAATTGCGAAAGAAAAAAAAAATGGCAGCAAACGATTTATATAAATATATAAAAAAATTTTTTTTATGTATTTTAAATTTAAATTTAAAAATGGGGGGTTTATTATTATTTTTAAACGGAAATTATTAACGTTCCTCCTTATGTAGTATACAAATTACTTATTTTACATAATAATAATAATAATAATAATAATAATAATAATAATTTCCAAGAATTATTATCATTTTGAAAAAGTTTTAAATATCTGATTACGCAGAAGGTTTCGATTTCGATTGAAATTTTCCAAAGAAAAGAAAATTGTTTGATACGAAACTAAAAAATTTATTTATTTATTTATTTTTTGTGTTGTTTTGTTTCCAGTGAATAGAGCGAATAATTTTATGCAATCAGTGTAACATTCAGAGTCGTCCATTTCATACAAGACAACTTAAATAATAAGAACAATATTCCAGTTTGAAAATAATAATAAAATGGAGAAGTCGTCATTACGAAAAATTATTAATAAACTCTGTCGGAAAATCGTCATCGGTAAGTCTATTTACAAATTATTATTATCATTATTATTAATTTTTAAATATTTATTAACGCACCATACGCGGTAGGGACTTTAAACAAATTTTTTTGCTAACAAACGGCGTTGTTTAATAATGACAAACTCTTTTAAACAAAAATAATAATAATTAATATCATCATCATCATTTTCATTCATCCCCCCCCCGTTCGAACGGCTCTTAACATTTTTTCAAGGGGTTGGGAGTGAGGGTGGGGGGGGGGTTTATTAACGAGAAAAAGAAAAATTAAATTTACGGTTAATTATGTTAATTATTTTTTTTAAAATTCGATACAGGCCGTTTATATATATAGTCATATACAATATTAAGAACGAGTTATCAAATTATTATTATTATTATTATTATTAGTTTCGTATATTAAAGATGAGTTCGTGCTTTAAAAAAAAAAAAAACATATCAGGCTTTACTTATTCGTTAAGGAATTTTTTTTTAAAAAAAAAAAAAAAAAACGTTCAACGGTCGTGAACCACGAAAAAAAAAAAAAAAGATAATTCCATGTAAAAGTTAACTTGACAGATAGTATCCATAGAAAAAGAT